GATGTATCACACGTATTCGATGACGAGGAACCCACTTTGAGACTAATAATGTTCTCTCACCAATCCACTACCATAAACCAATCATACCGTGAAACTATTTTAGTATCTGATGATGACAAAACCTTGTCGAAACGTTGTACATTTGCTGTTATGTTAAACTTATATTAAAGTTTTTCTTCATTACCCATTCAAGCCGTCTCCAGCCATTATCACACGTATGTTACACAATTAGTTCTAGTTTATAGCAACCATGAAATAAACACTTTTCATGTTTCAAGTGTGTGTTTTTCACCGTGTTAGACAGATGATTAAGTTGCTAAAACACAAGTATAATATCATAAATTATATGTATAACATCTGTTCTCAATAGAATATGAGTTATTACCATTAGACGTGTATTTTGTGTATTAATAAAAAGACGTAAAATCATTAATGTTGAATTGCTTGCTGTGTTGGCTCTTGCAGCTTCCTAACTAATGTAGTTATTCAAAGTGCAACTGAATTAAGGAAATAATTGTGTTTCGTTCAATTAAGGTTATGGGAACACCAGTTGCTAGGTTACCAAGACAGTCTTGCTAACTTGAATTACTCAGGCGTGTCCTAAATATCACGGGGTCCTTTATCGTTTTAACAGTTTTATGTGTTCTTTCCAAGTACGATATTAAAACCGAAGCCCTAAAAGTTCCTAACTTAGAAAAATCGGTTGCTAGGTTACCATTAGATTTAGATTACAAGTGATTCAGACATTTAAGACAACAATAATGTGATGGTTGCTAGGTTATCATTACGTCTAGATTACAAGTGGTTTGGCTCATATTTTTAAGATGGTGGTAGCATAGTGTTTGCTAGGTTCTTAGGCACTTTTCCGACTAGTTTTAAAAGGATTTCGGAGGAGGGGACTTAATTTAGTGACACGGAAAATATCTTAAAAAACAATATTGGTTAATATTAGGTTTATTATACAATTCTTAGATTTAGTGTTAATGGTAATGTAAAGTAAGAGTGTATTTACGTGGTCAGCCATTTGAAAATTCGTGTGGATTAGAATCAGCCAGAATTAATGAAATATACTGACCCAGTTAACCAAATCTACATTTATTAATATTTCAGTCGGTGGGTAATATAAAAAAGTATTATATTTAGTATTTCAGTAGAATACAAAAATAAATCGGTTTTTATTCAGTTGCATCTGATTTCTCCAAGCCCGTTACCTTGGCTGTAATTTTGAATTTGCAATTACGGATTGGCAAACTATGTTGATAAAATCTTCCTGTCATTGGTTTTAAAATTCAGCTACATTCTAATCATGAACCACGATAGTGGTTCATAATAGGGATCATCCAATTGTTCTTCTTTATCATCATTTCATATTGCTCCGCCAACCTACAGTAAAAATGGCTGTTAGTATTGTAATGAAACCTGGGCAATATTACTAAACGCACCACTGCGGATTGTTTAGGGTAGTTTTCAACGTTTGACTACCTAGCAGGTAACAGCGACTGTATAACCGTTGACACTCAGTCGTTTTAATGTAGTCTGTGGTTTATATGGAGCCTCATAATCATATATACACGCATACGTATATAGCTGCGTGCAGGCCGTGGATGTAATTTAATGTTTATATGACAGGCATGACGCATATTCCATAGTTATGATTAACGTACTGTTGCAACTCTATTGATGTCACGTATCATTTGTTTATATATATATGGGGTTCCTGCCCTTTCGGACACGACGCTGCAGACAGGATCAAAGTTTTTTTATCACTTCATGATGGATTTCGGCCATGTTACACAAACGTCTAAAACGTTATACAAACATCTAGGCTGGTTCCAACAACAGAAATATTTAAGCTGTTGTTTAAAGAATAGCACCAAGCTCCGTTTCGAGCACCGGATTGGCAATTATGGTAATGGCTGATTGAAAATGATATAGATACTGCAGGTAGAGTAGCCATCCTTGAAGCTAACTATAAAGAGTGGCAAGAATCGTGGAAGCAGAAGATGGCGATTCTAGGTGAAGTGAGGCGCAGATTTTGTAGCTGTAAAGTATGCAGTAGCGACGGCCCACCAAAGTTGGGGGGTCATCATAGTGGAAGAGGGTCGTAGAAGTGTCAAGTCCCAAACTCCGTCAGAAATGGAGGGGGGGGGGGAAGGTATATCAATATAATCAATTCATAATCGTTCATTAACATGTTTTCGACCTTGTGGAGTGTGTATCATGTCGCTCTAAGATGAAATCTGACCAATTGAAGCAAAACCTAGCCTAACATAGCTTACTATGGCCTGCGAAGAGGAGAAGAAAGTGGGAAATATAACAACAACAAGGAATATTAAAAATAGTTTATTTGTATATATATATATATATGCTACTATATTATGACACATTGTCTTTTACATGCATACATCTATACAACTGGAAAAATTCATATGACTATCTATATATACGACTTTACAACTTAAAAAACTATATAATCCGTATATATATATACGGAATGGAACTTTTTTTTCAGGAATAAATCGTTCTAGATAGATAAATATAGAGAAAAATATTTGCTGATATTGCGATATGCCAAGCTTCATAAGGTAATTAAATATGATAAGTTGTATTTCAACAACTCCACTGGTGGGTCAGAGGTAAATTCACGGACTTACAACTCTAAAATCTGAGGTTCAATTCCACACACTGGACATAGTACAGATGGTACTTTGTGTTGCTTTGCACACACACACACACACACACACACATAAAGATAAAAGAAAGTGAATTCTACTCATCTGGTAAAATTGTTTTGTCAGAAGACTATAATTGGCAGAATGAAGAACGTTTTTGTTTGTTTGTTTACATGAACAATAACTTTTTATTATCTGTTTTGACACGGTTGAAGTAATGAATCATGACATCTTGTTTACGTTATATTTCAGCCATCGTTCTCAGAATAGAACATGGACATTTCTAAGATGCTGAGCAGCAGAAGAGTTTTCCTTTTATAGAACAATCGTATCGATTGAAAGCTGAACACTATTTTTGAGAGAGAAAACCCTATATGCACGTTGAATATTTCTTTAAACTAATCACGATCCTCGTCGCTACAAAAGAGTGAACCGCCATATTAACTTATTTTTATTCACACGTTGCTAAGGTATGTTTCACATCACTTAGCAACTCGTGGCAGGTTCGTGGTGTATGTACGCCACAGCTAAAAACCGTGCTGACTAAATTTCCCAGTAATATTAGTTGCAATATGTTTTAAAAGGCGTCAAATTTTAACATTTGAAACTATTCATTTTTCAAACATTTTGTTTTTTTAATTTAACTATGTATATTGAGCGACCACTTTTAACTGTTTTATGGATATTTTTTCCCTAAATACTATGATATATATATATATATATACGATAAATTATCTAAACTTAAAATATTGATAAACTAGTTGGAGTACCAGTCCCCTGGACGGAAGTTATGTAGAATCATGATTAATGAAAGGTTATCTTGGGACATGAAAAGTTGCTTCCCTTATATGCATCCAAATCAATCAACACCATAAATTAAAATACTTAGATACCCCCCCCCCTGTAGCAGGCTTAGGACTGTCATTTATAACAGCTTTATTCCAATTGGAGCGGTTTTAAAATGACCAGGTTAGAAAAGTGTGAGGTAATTGTAAAAAAAAAAAAAAGGCAAAAACGCTCATAAAAACTGCAAAATAAAATGTGGAACCGCAAATTTGCATGTATCGGTGCATGGACCTAACAAACCTTCATGCCAAGTTTGGTGAAGATTCATTTACAGGGGGCAAAGTAGTAGTAAAGAACGTCCATAAAAACTACAAAACGAAAAATGCAAAACTGAAACTTTGTATGCACCCCAGCATGGATCTAATGAAACTCCATACCAATTTTGGTGAAGATCCATCCACACCCTGCGAAGAAGTTACCTGGACATATAACAGACAATATACAGTATTATTATATTTATATAGATCATAAAAGGTCCAGAAGCATACTGTTGTCGTTATTTGGAAATGTAACTTTCTTTTATTTGAAAACAAGAGAGTAACTATTTTGTGGATTAATTGGTAATAACGACAGGTGTTATCAAGGTTGATAAATTCTGTGTCAATATAGAACGTTGTGAAATGCTGTTTTCTTGTGCATTGTTTTCTTTTTTTTATGCAAATTACAGAAATTGGTTATCTTTAAACACTGTAAGCGGACTTACAATGTCCTGCAGGTACGAGTTGTGTAAAAATACGAAAAGTAAGTTTAAACCTAAAACGTGGATGTAGAGACTTTCGTCTTCAACTCCATTTTCAGAACGCTTTACCTGTCAATCTCCAAACGGTTTTATAAACTCCGTGGGGAACCTACCGGGATGAAAAGATTAATAATTTATCAGAATCCATGACTTTTAACTTCTAGTTCATCGCTTTGTAGTGAACACAAAACAATTTTAAATTTACAATAAAAAGTTTTAATCCACACTAACAGAACAACACCAAATTTAAATGGCGAAACTAGTTACCATTTGAATTTGGTATTGTTTCGTTAGTATGGATTTAAGTTTTATTGTAAATTACTTTACACGGTCTTGTATATTTTCCTATTTTTTATTTGTAAATTTGTAAAATGTATATCGGACATGATAAGAAAAAAATTAAGTACCTATGTTTACCACTTTCTACACTATCATGCACTTAAAGAGATTGAGATAATTTAATGTAAACTTTAATAATCCCCAAGATATCTGTGTAGTTTTATTTTTTTATTAATCTTTAAAAAAGTCTTTCAATCAGGATATCACTTAATTTCTTGTAGGGCCCGATAATTTGAGTGAAACAAGTAATGTTCACAGTTTCAGATAATCTTATTAATGAATAAAACTAGTAAAGCCAATTATAATCGTCATAAATCACTTTATCAATCAATAAATCAATAATTGTATTTGTAGAAGTTTTACTTTTTTTTATGTTTCCATGATTTTTGTAATTTTTTTTTCAGACCCAAAGAAGTAAGAGCTTAACCCAAATCGACTGCCTGGAGAAACCTAAAATTGCCGCCACTGAACTTAACATGAACAATAACCCGAAAATGGTAGGCAAATATTCACTTAAGCCTACTGCTATATATGATAATTCATATCAATCTTTATCCTGTATTGCCAGGATATTTCATTGTCATAAATACTTACAACTAGCTGGAAGTTATGTAAATTTATGATTAATAAAAGGTAATCTTAGGACATGAAAAGCTACTTCCCTTATATGTAATTGTAAAAAAATGCCCATAAAAACTGCAAAAAATGTGAAACCGCAAATGTGCACGTATCTTCGCATGGACCCCAATGAACCTCCATACCAATTTTGGTGACGATCCATCCACACCCTGCGAAGTAGTTACATGGACATATAACAGATTATTTTGATCGCACGTTAAACTAATACTGGATAATTTAGGAAGTAATTTAGAAATGGCGAGGTCATTCAAGGTCAACTTCAAGGCCATGTCGTCAAACTTATATCAGTTTGCATCATAAAACAATAGAGTCAACTGGAAAGGTGTATACAATAAGAAATGAAACATTTTAAACAAAAAATCGATCGACCACAAAAATAATTATAGGCATGAAAGATAAGGTGAACATTCTAACAATAGTGCAGAAACTGATATACAAGCAACAGCTGTATTTTAAAGTGCTGTTGTGAAAGATCCCAATATGGCGGCTTCCTTTGACAATATTGGTTGTTTACCGTGGTTTGTCGGCATGACGTCTATTCGTAAATTGACACATTTCCTGACATCGGATGTGATATGGGAAGTACTTGGCATAAAATCTGGCAGCAGTCCAAGCATTCAGGTGACAGTTTTTGTGTTCGTTTTAGCGCGAAGCTACGCAATGGGGCTATCTGCGCTATCTGTCCACCACGGGGAATCGAGCCTCGGATTTCAGTGTTGTAATTTCGTGAACGTACCGCTGATTCACTGAAGACCACTCTCCGTATAGAAGGACCGTGTTAAACTATATTTTAAGATAGCTTTATGCAATGTGGTCGACATTTGAGGAAGGTTTGTTGTGTGTGGATAGCTCTTAGCTAGTGTTTGTTGGAGCCCTAAAAGTTGTTACCAAAAACACATGACCACTTTATCAGTGGCTCTATTTGAAAAAAACCAGTAGGACTATATTAGTAATAGTGTGAAATTTCTCTAGCATAGCTGTTGTTTGTTACTAAGTACAAAGCTACACAAAGGGCTATCTGTGCTCTGCCCATCACGGGTATCGAAACCCGGTTTCTGGCGGTATTAGTCCGCAGACACTCTATCATAGTACATTACTAAACAATTTGTTATCAGATTGATTGCTCCGGCAAGAGACACTAATGACCGAGTCTTAACACAAACTAAAAAAAAATAAGTTAAAAAGCACCGGTTCAAGGATTAGTCCGATTTTACAAAGGATTGAAACTTGAAAAAAAAAATGCTTATTTTTTCCTGTTAATGAATGGTGAAGAATACAAAAGCAGCTTAAACAATGACTTATTTTGGCCATCGATATTACCAGACCTTGTTTTATTCTACCTTCTATAAAACTGTTTGTTTATTGTTAAGCGCAAAACTACACAATGGGCTACCTGTGCTCTGTCAACCGTGGGTGTCGAAACTCGATTTTAAGCATTAAAAGCCCCCAGACTTACCCCTGAGCCACCAGGGGGTGGAATGTATAATATTTACTGTGGACATTGAATGCACTGATATATCTGCAGAAAAATGAACTTTTGACCTGCCTACTGAAGCGAATATTTCTTTTTTAACTGTAACTTATATATCTTGAAGAAGTCAACGACTGGTAGAATAAGCTCAATAGTTTTAAAAAAATCAATGATCTACGTGGAAGAAGCTGATACGTGTGTGCTCTCGCTCTCTCTTTATCGAAGATTTCATAAACCGCTCACACACACACTCAAAAATGGGTCACGTGCTTTCAATTTACGATTGTGAAAGTACGCAGAATTCGGTTGCAAAAACAAAAAAAAATTCGCATTATCAGGTCATTGCTCTACATATAAACAAGCTCCAAAAAAAGAAGTGTTTTTATTCTAAGTCTTTAAAACGTAAGAAGTGTAGAAGCATGCCTGTGTGAGGTGAAATTAACCTCATATAGGAATACAGAACAACTATAAAACACACGAATAGAATTATATTAAAATAAAACAGCTAGAAAATTAAGTCAAACTAACAAACTTTTATTTGTGTATTTTAAAGTTATTTTGTATTCCTATTCAACCTGTGCATTAATTTTTTTTTTGAGTGGGGGGGGGGGATGTATCTTAATATTAGTCCTTACGTCTTCACTGTCCGTATTATGATTCTTGGAAAATATTGACTGTCTGTTAGGGGTTTGAACACCATGAGTCTAAAAGGAGGATGTATCTTAATATTAGTCCTTATGTCTTCACTGTCCGTATTATGATTTTTGGAAAGTATTGACTGTCTGTTAGGGGTTTGAATACCATGAGTCTAAAAGGATGATGTATCTTAATATTAGTCCTTACGTCTTCACTGTCCGTATTATGATTTTTGGAAAGTATTGACTGTCTGTTAGGGGTTTGAATACCATGAGTCTAAAAGCATCTTAGCTGCACTCCTTTTACTTCACTTCATGAAGCTGAACTGGCTTGATTTATAGCTTACAAAGTATATGGCTTTTTATAATAGATGTATACTAAGCTTGTGCAGATTCATATATCCGCTGGTGTGTTTAGTATCCATTTACCTTCGACGTATCGTCCCAGATGTTCCTATGGTGATCTGTATAATTCATCTTACTGGGAGTTACAATTCGTCAAAATATAACAACATGATAAAGGAATAACATAGTGTCTGATTTGATGAGGTTGATATTTTAATGCAACTTGCATCTGATACGCGACAACTGTTTGCGATTATGATGTGGTATTGAAATTGCGTTCTTATCTCAAGTGCTTATGTTTTTAATTGCTTTAACTTGTGTTTTATTCTTGTATCGGTGCAGGCTGCTAATGAGGAATTGTTTATTGCTAAATACAACGGCTTAACAAACATGTTTAAATGTTCGACTTTGCTAAAGCTGTTCATAAGCAACATTATGGCAAAACGCACTTAATAATACACGTGTTTAAACTTTAGTTGCCCTTTGACATAAACAGGTCAAACACCTACTTTTGTAGAGTTTAGGATAAAATGCAAGAAAAATCATCATTAAACTGGGCTGAACATAGTTATGTGATTTGCGTGTCGGGCTGCGTACTGATTGGCTCAAAATACAAGATGTGGTGCCACTGTACACGCTCCGTACTTTCAGCTGTGGTCGGTTTTAAAAAAGGGGGTCAGTTCCATTATTCGGTTCAAAGACTTAAACAAAATCCTTTGTGTCGGCAAGTGCTTAGTTTGAAATGTAATAATGAGTAATTAAAATCAAGTTTTTAAGTAGCTCAATCTGGGGGATTTACCATGCTGGGATTCCAGTGACCATAAATGTTTAGATGATGACTTTAATTATTTGTCCGTTACTACGCTGTTATGTGTTTATTATTGCTTTTGTTTTCGAATTTGCACAAAGTACTTCTCCTTCATTAAGAACGAATTGTTTGTTTCATTTTTTATTTGCTATATTTTGTGCGCCTGCAATACCAAGCGTAGGGTGCGCGTATACCCGATTCGATTCTATTACTCATCAGGATATCTACCAACCTACTCTCAAATCTAATTATATGCCCAAAATAATGCATTGTCCGTTAAATATATACACATACACTAGTATTCCCCCTTTTTTTTAATATAAGGTACAGAGTTTTAAGGACGACATTCAAAAAGCAGCTTTGAATTGGACACAAAACAATTGTCAAGTGTCTCAAAAAATCGAAAAAATACTTTTTATGAGTGGATGTTTTTTTATGTGAAAGAATGGAATTGATAGAAAACCGAAATGGAAAACATTAAGATTTGTAATCTAAGAATCGTTCGTGTTTCATTCAATCAGAAGCTAAAGACTGGCAAACAATTAGGCTTAACTTCTCTTGGATACAAGTGATAATTACAAGAACTTTTAAATACAAGATTATCGTCTCTTGTACTTTTTACCCTGTGCATATATGGGCAGTATGTTTAATTAGTGAGTCGGCCGTAGTTTAGTGATTATCGTGCTGGGCTGCCGATCGAAAGGTCCGAAGTTCGAACTTTCAGCGTTGAGTGTGTGTGTGTGTTTTGAGAGTGCCAAGCGCTTGTGGTAATGAGTTCTAATGACTTTCCGTCTTCTCTGTGGTAAGTGGTTCAAAATTAGGGCAGTCTGACCTCACCGTTTAGCCCCCCTTCGGGTATAAGGTGACATTAAAGTTGAAAACATCAATGCCACATAATTAATAGTTACTAGAAAGTTATAAAGCAGCTTAAAATAAACATATACATCAATCATTGAAATTGTCCTCATATGTTATCCCTAATTACCACATAAATATATTCAGACTTGTTACAAGTCCTTTAGGCACTGATAATTTGGTTTATTGCCAGTTTTACTGAAATATGTTTAGGAACAGTTTAGTGGGACAGCTATACATGACGCTTAAGAGGCTTTGACTTGGTCATTTAGCTCATATACGTACAAGGTGCCATTCCGGTTTCTGATCTATTTATATACATGTACAAGTATAATAAAAAAAGGTTCAATTTTTGTAAAGACAAGTAAGGTTCGATATATACGTAACCTAGCTAGCTATAGTAATATAGAAAGTTTTATTGTTACAAGAAGAACTGAAACAAAATAATCAAAACTACACAAATGAGTTACTTAAAATTAAAAAAAATTATTACACTTGTTTGTTTCATTTCTTTTAGCTATATTTTTATTCGCCAGCAAAACCAAGCGTGAAGTGCGCGTATACCATATTCGATGTTATTACTCATGAAGATCTCAACCAACCTACGCTCAAATCTAATTATATGCCCAAAATAGCTCATATATATACACACACACACACACTACTATCCCTTTTCGATACAAGAAAAATCATTTGAACCCCAGACGGAAGAGTTCTATGAAAGACTTAGAACGATATGGTTCGTCATTTTTTCTGGAAAAGTCACTTACTTACTTAGATGAAAATTCGTTGAAATAGTGACATTTTGATTCACATTTTGATAAACACATATATAGCGATTTATGCGGCTTCATAAATACAATAAGCTTTAGTTTTCTCACCAAATACTGTGAAGTAATCATTGTTAATATTCAGACATTTTAAAGGTCGTTTTAAACAGGCAATATTTATGGCCGCCATTTTGTGTCATCACGACCCCACTATTAAGTACTACCGTACTTGATATTGATATGTGTGTGTATGTTTATGTAGCCATACCCACTATGAACAATATACAGTAAGTTACAGTCAAAACATGAAATGTAACAGGTATAAAATCAGCTGTTTTACTTTGTTTCACATATTAAATATGATACTGGATCTTTCTCATGTATATTAGTCTTTACGATAATCCTATTATAAATTAATTAATTACCATTGTTTTATAACTAGGTAATAATTACTAACTAGTTTATATCCTATGTTTCGGCATTTAATGCTGTCTCCAGGAAAGTCCTGAGAAAAACTGTGTTTTATTAGTGGCTGAAGTTCTATCCTAGGTCTTTTTGATAAAATAAACAAGCTTTACAATATAAAAGATGCTGAGAAGAAAGTGGAAAGCACATCATTACATCCCTTCTTGAAAATAGATATCCTGATCCTTTACGTTTGTTAGCATCTATCAACCAGAGTTGGCTGGCTTGATTACCACAATTTTTGGTATGTAACTGGAAACTGTTCGACAGTGTACATGGGCTATTTTATTTCAAGATTTGCGCCCGGGATGGGGGATAAAAATACGGTGAAATAGGGCACATTTCTACTTTATTTTAATAGAGTTTTGGCTTTCAATTAACAGACACAAATACTTACTATCTTAGTAAAAAAAACAACAGAAAAATCGACGTTTTTTGGCACAATGAAAGGTAAAATCATTATTATTAGTTACAGCCGACTAGTTTCGGTAACACAGTTACCAGCATCAGAGTTAGTGTTACCGAAACTAGTCGGCTGTAACTTATAATAAATATTTTACTTTTCATTGTGCCAAAAAAAACATCGGTTTTTGTTTTTTACTCTTAATATAGTGACACAATATGCCTGAAAAGAAATTATAACACAAATACGTAATTAGTTAAAGAGTCAATTATTACATTCTACAAAGCATCATTAGGGATTTAATAACAGAAGAAAGGGAAGAGTTATCCTTAATACAACTTTTTCTGCCTTAACCGGTACTCTCAGTTAGTGAAAATAAAGACGATACGCACTAAAAACAAGTAGGAAGAAAATTACAGATACTCATCCACATTCCCCTATGTCAGAGGGAATCTCTCCAAAAACATACAGGGGATATGTAAACAGCATAAAGACCAGCTTAGAAGGTGATGCCAATAAGTATTACGTCGTTTACACTAGCCTGCTGCCCAATAATTGCTTCAAGGAGTCACATTATTCTGCAGTAACACAGCAGCTTCTGGACTTGCAGATGTTTGTATATTTAGGAGAAAACAGTAGCGTAAAAGATCTAAAGAATGAATATTGGAGGAAATACAAGTAAAAGTTGTAGGAATAATTAATGTAAATGGCAGGAAAATATAACGTAAATCGAACAAAATATACAAAAAAAAGATAGAAAAGACAGAAGCAGGAAATAAGTGGGGAAAATTTGGAAAGAGAGTAGTAGGATCAGTAAAAAGAGATGAAAAAAATCTAGGTAAAGAGGAATTTAAGATGGAATTTACTGTTGCAGTCCAAACTTATTTGTTTGTTTGTTTTGAATTTCGCGCAAAGCTACACGAGGGCGATCTGCGCTAGCCATCCCTAATTCAGCAGTGTAAGACTAGAGGGAAGGCAGCTAGTCATCACCACCCACCGCCAACTCTTGGGCTACTCTTTTACCAACGAAAAGTGGGATTGACCGTCACATTATAACGCCCCCACGGCTGAAAGAGCGAGCATGTTTGGTGGGACAGGGATTCGAACCTGCAGATTGTGAGCCCAGTCCAAACTTAACATTGCCAATCGGACGAAACGAACCAAAGAAATGAAATACAAATAATTACTCATTCAAAAAACAAAATGTGTGAATCCCAATGTATCATTCGATTTAAATTTACCACTATCACCGAGTTATATACTGGTTTTGAGGAATTTCACTCTCCTTTAGTAATAACCCTCGACTAAGGAAATAAAACTAGGGTTAATTTAGTGGTGGAATGTTATATGTATGGTGTTTACAGGTGATTTTTGCTACCACAGTGAATCTATATTTACTAGGATTTCAGAATATATATCATTAATGGCTCACTATGGTGAGTAAAATATATCTCAAAACACCATAACATTGACATAGTGGTCTCGTACAGTTTAATTTGTTACTTTGGAGTGGATCACGGAGTTTAAAGTGCTTCACATTGCTTATTTACCATGGTTAGATGTCTTTGAAGACACTTGGATGTTTCACACTTGAGGTGAACTATCAGAAGAGTGGAAGCTTGCTGATGATTGCCCACAGCAATCCACATCACCTTCAATGTCACCGAGCACATGTCCAGAGGAACAATGACATGTGAAACATTATTGTTTAGGTGGTTTTACAGATGAGTCACCTTGTAGCTAATAATCGGTGCATGGCCAACTGGAGAGAATCGAACCACATTTTATTTCTAAGAAATTGGCTCATAAGGCAATGAATGATATGTGTTCCGACTTCTGTGGTACCTTTAATGTCAAACATAATAGGGGCCACACCTACGACCGTATTTGGCCATGACTTCAGCCTAACGGATAATAACGCCCGCCTACACGTGTCAAACTGTTTTTATCGACACGCTCCTAGAACAAAAGACTAAATAGAGGACTGAAGGTTCATTGGACTTCTGTCGTAACGAGCATGTATGAAAATATCTTGGTAGAACTCGTTGTATTCTCTCAAGTGGCTCAAGCTACAGAAACAGGTCTTTCATAGAATAAAGCACTTTGATTTTAAGTATATTAAGTTGGTACCAGGTACCCTTGTTGTTCTTGATCATACTCCATTTTGAAGAAAAATGTTTTATGAACTGTATAGACGTCAAGCCACCTCTACCAAATGTTCATTTACAAGATTACGATGAATGATGACGTCATTTGTATTTCAGGTCACGGGATCAATTATCAAATGCCTGATTTGCTTTAAAATGAGCTTAGAACACGTCTTGCCTTGTCGAGGCTAAAATATTATAAATTCAACTTACCCTTTAAATGTTTTGTGTAGTGTATTTTACATGAAAGGCATCCGCTTTGTCGTGTTTTATTATATTAGATTTTCTTCAGATTTAAAAGTTTGCGTGTTTTATTTATCAAATGATAGATTTTATTTCTACACGAAACAAAAAAAAACTATTTTTGTTCCGTTTAATGTTAACTAAATGCTATTATCTCTTCATCTGTAGACGGCGAGATTGGATCATTTCACAGTCTCCTTAGAAATGTTTGATGAACCCACAGTCGAGAAAATACCTGCTACCAGTGGAGTGTGTTTGCGGTATGTTATATTATTATTATGTTATTCAAAAGTTGTTAACGTACACTATACATTAAAGTGTGAAAAAATGCCTTTCTACAATAGAGTGATACACCTATGGATGATCAGATATACACAGATCATCCCTACATGACTTTCAATATTAAAATTTAACGTTACACTGTCAAATGCATACTTGACTGCAGTTGGAAGTTATATATTCCAAACTGTTGGTATGTAGTTTGTTTATCATGATACTGGTCATGTCAGGATAGGCATCAATATAATGTAACTAAGAGCCT